CGTGTAGGTTCTGTGCCCTCCTCTGACTCTTTCTTCAAAGCCAAAAGTATGTCAGTTCTCAGTTCTTGTACAGTTTCAGGATGGCAATTAATTCCTCTAGCCCTTGGTTGAGAGCAAAAGGCACAGAAAGTGGGCTTCAATCCAGGGAGTGCCCAAGTCCTGTATCCCCGTGCACAGGCATGTATCATTCATTCCTCTTCAGAGAAGCTGCATCTAAAAGAGTGTACCTTTGAGATGCATAACGTAAGTAACCATTCTGTTAAGGATTTAACTGTTCCAATTCTGTAAGGACTTACTGGGTTAACAGGTCTATTTTGTAAGTGCAGTTGATTTTAAAAGTAAGTAATAAAAATTTACCAGTTGAAGTTGTTTGCTGTGATTAGAATTAATCATACTTATATGTTTTGTATGTCTCATTCAGAGATATATGAATACTACCAAACATGTTAAAATTTTAAGTTCCAGATGTGATGTGTCAAGTTAGTTTTCTGATTTTTAAAAAAAACCTCTTTACTAAAACCAGAAGTCAGAATACAATCCTGTTTATAATTATGTGGTAAGTGAAGCTGTAATTCAAACACTGAAACTCCTAACATGACGTTTAGGGATTTTTTATTTTTTTTTTTGTAGGATTCACAATGCACTTAAGGGAATCCCAGATGACAGGGATGGACTATTTGACACCATTCAGCGCTCTAAGAATCATTATCAGAAAAGAGCTTACCAGTGTATAAAGTGCATGGTAGCTCTCTTCAGCAACTGTCCTGTAGCCTACCAGATCCTTCAGGTGATACCTCTCCTTCTGTTTCTTTTTGCTTTTTTTTCCAGTTCTGTGTTAAAACAAACAAACAACAAAAAAAAAACCTACCAAAAAAACCCACACCTTTATTCAGTTTTCACCACCTTGATGAAATCACTACTTCCAAGTACAACTCATTTGAACCTTCCTGTATCAGAAGATCAGTATATGGGATTGAGAGCAATTTGGTTAAACTTGCACTGATGATTCTGTGATGCAGCTGCAAATCTGCAGACTTCATTTCAAATTTGAAGTTTTCTTTGTGCTAAAAAGGCTATTTCAGGGAGTCTTTTAAACAGGAGCATATGTGTGGGTGGTCTCTTCTCTGATAGCTGATGTATAGGAAGGCAAAAATATTTCTATTTTGAAGAACAGAGAAAATAATTCTGAATTGTTAATTTTCCATCTGCAGAGCAATGGAGATTTAAAGAGAAAATGGACCTGGGCAGTAGAATGGCTTGGAGACGAACTTGAGCGTAGACCATACACTGGCAATCCCCAATACACCTATAATAATTGGTCTCCACCAATACAAAGCAATGAAACATCAAATGGCTACTTCCTAGAGAGATCACACAGTGCTAGAATGACTCTTGCAAAAGCTTGTGAACTCTGCCCAGAGGAGGTAAAGAATGAATTTGACTTCTGGTAAAAAATTTGACTAACGTGCTTCTGTAAATAATTAACCTTCGCAACAGTCTGGTCATTGTAGAGGAAACACGTTTTACAAGTATTTTATAAATATGGATTTCTATTTTTGTTGGTTTCAGTTCCATACTCCTGTGCTTTTTTCCGCTTTTATTACTGTTTCTGTAGATACCTGACACTTAAAGAATTAGCAGTGTAGAATTGAAATTGACCATTTAAAGTAGATTATGAGTGGGTCTGTTTTTCCGATAATACATTGATAGTGGGAATCTGTATATAGTACAATACAAGCTATGGGTGATGTGGTGGGGTGAAATTTTTCTCTGAGCATGTCTGAAACAATCACTTGCATGTAGGATTGGTTCTGGATAGAATAATCAATATGTTTTACCTAAGTAAATTAAACGTTTTTTCAAACTTTAGGAACCAGATGATCCTGATGCCCCAGATGAACATGAGTCTTCTCCACCTGAAGATGCCCCACTGTATCCCCATTCACCTGGTTCTCAGTATCAACAGGTAAAAACTCAGAGCTGAACCATTTTTTCAGAGTTCCATGTTAGCTTTTGTTAGCATTTATGGTAACTGAAATTATAGGCATTTAGCCAGAAGCATAGTATTGCCAAATATCATACTTGGAGGAATACAGGAATAGAATACAATACAAGAAAAAGATACACCTCCATTTTGCCAGGAACAGTTTCACCATCAGAGTTTCAGGTGAGAATTTGAATGTTACCAGATCAGGGATTAATCATCCATAGAAAGAGCAGGGGAACAGATGTCATCACAGTCTAGTGCATACTGAATTTGATTCTGTCATATTTGTTGACATTTATATTATTTTGTGAGTTGCTTTCTTGTTTTTAAATACAAAACCAAGCCTCAAGGCCTGAATTTCAGTTTGGGTAATGGGAAGACTTTCAGGAAAGTGCAGATGGCTTTGTTACGTATAATTTGTGCCGTGTACGCTGATCTCTAAATCTTAAGTACATATAAAATCTAGATCTGTTTCTATGTTAAATGGCTGCTTTGTTAATATCTTTCAGTGGAAAGCCAGATCTGAAAGAAATCATAACCAGGTTCTTTATTGAATTGACTAAATTAGTAGATCCCCCACTTAGGTGCCATTTTTTGTTCCAATTCATCTTATACATTCCAAATCTGCTAATTTAATTTCCTTTCCTGCCCAAACCCATTTTCCCCTCCTGTCTTGCTTTCCTTACTTGATGTTCTCAGCAGAGCAGTTGGTAAGTCATGCAGATTTTCCCACTCCTTTCTGAGCTCCTGAGTTCAGACACATACCGTAACCTCACCAGTACCCGTGTGATGTGTTCACTTTCTTGCAAGAGATGGCATTTCTCACTAACACACACAATCCTCATATTCCTAGTTTCTCCACAGTTGGTTAAACTCTGCAAAACAGTAGATAAATGAGATGTTTTCATTTGCCAGATGTGTGTATGACTTTTTAAATTGGGGCAGAGCATCTGCAGAAAACTACTGGTCTGGATTTCATTCAGTTCTGTAATGTTAAAGTATTCCCTCTTAAAAATTATGGTGCATAAATACAGGTATGCTTTTCCCATTGTCTTAAGAAAAAAAATGCAAGCTGGTTGAATCTGTTGATAAAATATGTGCACAGTTTAATGTCCGCAGCACATAGGCAGCCTGTTTTCATCTCTTTTTTTTTTTTTCTTGCTACTTTTGCTTTGCATGTAACTGTTTGTTATTCAAAAGCTGAGATTACTATTTCAACTAATCCTTTTATCTTTACAAGTTGAAAGTTTGTTTACCTTCTGTGTAAATTAGAAAGGTAAGTGAAAGATGTGATTCAGAGGAATGAAGAAACTGTGATGTGTGTTCATATAGATACTACTACATGAGAAGTTCAGTTGTCCTTGAGGACACTTTTCAGCAATCTGAATGTAAAGAGGAAAAGCAAGGAACTAGTCAGGAAACAGCCCGCAAGTTTCATGTCCCTTTAAAATGTTTATGCTTTATTACAGAATAACCACGTGCATGGACAGCCATATACAGGCCCGGCAGCACATCATATGAACAACCCTCAGCGAACTGGCCAACGAGCACAAGAAAATTATGAAGGCAGTGAAGAAGTTTCCCCACCTCAGACAAAAGATTAGTGAAATGCACATAATCAATTAACTTGCTCCATCAAGACTGTGCACCCAGGCCTTACAGTCCAACCTTTCTCTGTGTCTGGCTAATATTTAAAACTAGAAAAAACTATTCCTAATCAACATGGAGTGGAGAGTCTATTCACTGTCTTATCTGCAGAAAATTGCTGTCAATATATAACCCGCCTGCAGTGGAAAGTGTATAGTGTTTTGTAATAAATGGCCTGATGCTAATGTGTAAATGGCAAAGGTGTATATAGTATATTAATGTTTGACTGTTAATTCTTGAGCAAGAAACATTTTTTTTGTCTTGATGAGACTCACAGATCTACAAAAACAAAAAATAACTTCTTGATATATCTGCTGCGCTCTGCAACCAGTGTTGCCTGCCTCATGGCAGTCGGATCAACTCCTTTACGAAAAAGCCTATCCATGTCAACCACAAAAATAGTTTCATGTTAATTCTTTGCCACTGGAGTCGATTTTACTATGAGCAACGTAATGGCTGGTAATCTTTTAATTATTTGGTTGATGTGGAAAATTGGTGATGTAATATTGTTTCTAGATCTTTTTTCATTGCCTTTTTCATTCTGGTATTAGGTTAATCACTTTGAAGCTATAGTTATGCTGTAACATTTAGCATGGCTTCACACCAAGTTAGTGTAGCCAATGAGGGGTTAAAAAAAGAAAAAACACAAAAAAAACCACAAACAAAAAAAAACACAAAAACAAAACGTGACAGCAGTTGTCCCAATGTGACAACTGTATTGCTCAGAACTTTCTCTTCTTACACCTAGACTATAAAATGGGGAGGGAAAATGTGACAAAGAAGTGGTTTTCAGTTTCACATATGTTCCTCACATCTGATGTTTGACAGTTCTGTCTCTGGGTGGGATAAAGAACACTTAGTTTTCAGTAATAGGAATTTAAAAGATTTAAAACAAATATGCAAAAATTTGCTATGCCAGGATGCCTGGAGCATAATAGACTGTATTTGGTGTGCTTGTTTTGTTTCTTTGGTAGAGCTTATTAGATAAACTTCTAACACTTTCCTTCTACTGCATCCCAGTGAAGTGGAAGTCAACAAAATCACACAGTACTTGTGAGTGCCACTGCACCAAGTTAACTTGCTGGTTTTCTGCTCGTTCACAGTTCTACTTGAAAGCGAGAATTGTCTTAGCTCTTTATCCATTATACAGGAAATCGTAACATTAGAAGCAGGGTTTAATTATAAAAGAAACTACTGGTTAGTCAAATACAATTCTGAGGTATCTCTATTCCAGAATAAACATTTGTTTAAAGACTTAAAGAAACGCATCAGTAAATACTGTATTTAAATGAAAATTGGTAACTTGAATGTGTGTAATTTTTTTGGAACCTGTCTAAAAACCAAATACCCCTGCAAAACAGATACAGCCCACCCTATACTATTTAAATATTTTGCTGTTTTATTTTATAGAAATTATTTTGCTGAATTCACAAATAGAATTTGATTTAAGAAGAATGTTTTGTCCTGTGGTGTGTGTTGTTTTTTGTTTTTGTTTTTTTTTTTTAATGGACTGCACAGAAAGGTGAATTCTGTGCAGTGGCACTATGCTGAATTCTGGAACAACCTTGAGTCACATTGAGATTCTGTGCACAAAAAAAAAAATTTGGCCCTTAAGAATAAAATAATCAGGACAATTACACTGTAAAAGTTTCTTAATGTGATTTATCTTGTACTTTTTGTATGTTTTTATATATACATATATATATTTAATGAGCACAAGCTTGATGGTGTTTTTTACAAACGAGTTGATAGAAACAAAGCTGCTTATCAAATTAAAGGTCTGTAGTTTTGAAATGAACAAAGGAAAATTTCAGTCGCAAGTACATTCTTACGCATTTAGTATAATAAGGAAGGGACACAGAAGATTTTTGACTATACTGTGTAGCGATGATCACTTTTATGCTTCCATGTTTTCCCTAGTGCTCAACTTAATTCAGATTTTTTCATAGTTTTTTTAGTAATACCATTTTACCTGGGCTTAGTCAATTTGAATAAAGTGTTCCCATTTATATTTGGGAATGCTTGTTGGAGATTTTAACTCAAAAATTCTACCCTGAGTACTCAAGTTGAAATAGTTCATATTTATTTGGACCAGTAGTTGTTAAGCTATCTCAGAGGTGATTATTATGTATTTTTTACTGTATAGGTAAAATATATAATGTACTGGTTCAGCCTTGCCAAATGCGTTTGCTTTTACTAGTGCAATGATTGTAGAGACAGGTCAGACCTGTGACACTTCAAGGCTGTGACTCTTCAGTCATACACACCCCTGTCCCTGAATGGAGAATGACTCCAGTGGCAGTTGTTTTTCAGGCGGCAAATTGAGAATATTGTGCATCGTTGTGACTTCAAGGAAGGACAGCCTGTACTGTTTGTGCTGCTTTTAAACAGAGAGCTACAGTAAAAGCTGCAATGTTTTCTTCACTCTGGGCAAAACAATTTTGAATTGTACTTAACAAATAGCGTACAAGCAAAAAGTTTCGTATGCATGTTACTGTCACAGCATTTTGGCAGTGGCTGTTTTTGGGCGATACACAGGACCTCCTCGTTGAAGGCACATTTTAAAATAGTAGTCCTCAAAGTGCCTAAAGATTTAATTCCCCCATCAGTTATTTCAGTCCTCTTTTCTGTTTAGAACAATTACTAGGGAATCTCTGGTCTTCCATAAAATGAGCCAATAAATAGTAAAGCAATTACTCATGTTTCCAACAATGTAACATCAAATACATAGAAACTGAAAATTCACAGGTGATGTTATAATGGTGGCTAATGTGTAGTTTGACCGAGGGGGAAATCCATCGCCTTACTACGCAGAATTTCTCCCTCTTGTACATTTGGATTTTGGTTCTTAGTGACTAAAATAAGCTTTTAACACTTGCTACTGTTAGTGTTAAAATCAGCGCAGCCATATATAAAAGGAATTCAGTTACTGTTTGTGTATCAGTAAACGTACTGAGTTTTGGTCGCAGAGTTGGCCGCCTACACCTGCGTTATCCCATTGACGGCCGTGAGATTGCACAGGGGTCAGTCAGAGCTTATTTGCCGGCAGAACCTGGATTTGTGGCGATGCACAAGCAGAAAAGGACTCTGCTTGACTTGGAATAGTTCAGATTATTTTCCCTGCCTAACTACCAGCTCTGAAAATTTAAGTTCTCTGTTTTTAAAGCTAGTGTATCTTGCTGAAATTGAACCTGAAAGAAACGAAAATTCCCCAATGACATTTCCTGGTTTTTTTGGAGTGAAACTTTACTTTAGATGACATGAGAAAACTGTGTTATGGTAATTGCTATTATGCCTTCTCGGCCACTTTGTTGTGCCTAGCTTGTGTGTTTTAGTGTATGTATCATGAAAAAGCACTTACGGTTTCAAAACTTTCTATATATTTCCTAAGTTCCAGGAGAGATTAGCCATTCTGCCAAAGCTAAACGGGCAAAAATTGGCTGCTGTAGCAATTTACATCATTCTTGGTTTCAATAAATTTTGTCTACCTCCGAGTCTTTTGCCAGAAATGAGTAGGCTGATAAATTATGTCAAGGCAAAGTGGCTCAGTGTTTTTGTTGGCTTGTGTTTCCGTTACTAGGCATTGCAGCGAGGGTTTCAATGCAATGAATTTAACTTCAAGTGGAAGTTAGAGTAACTATATAAATGAGAGGAAGAAGTGGCACGTTAGGAAATTTGCAGAGTAAACGATTAAGTGTTTAAATCTCTTAGTTAAACCTTGTTAGTCCACACTTGTAAATCCATGTTGAAAGCAAATTCACCCCTGTGGTGAAAGACACGTCCCGTAATTTTGGGGAGGGTGAGATGCTGATGCTGCCCTCGCGTTTCTGAAGGCAGGTGTGGGAGTTGCCCGTTTGTGGCCATGTCCCAGCACTCTGGACAACAGTAATTTTGGCTCCCTGTCGTCTTACCTCCTGTGCTCTCCATCACGTTCATGATACCACTTTTCTCACAGCCATGAGGTCTTGGGAATAAAGTCTAAACCTGCCATCTAGTCTAGAGCAAGACAAAAGCAGCTTTCTAGGGGAGGAGTAGGAACCGTCTTGTAAATACTGCATGCTGCACCGTGGTACTACAAAGAGCAGAAAGCAAGGTGGAAGAAACCCAGCTACATCCTTCTGCGTGATTTCTGTTCCTCTTGCAAGTGGTCTCGTGAGGACGACGGCAAACGGAGCTCTTGAAAGCTCACTGCATTTTCTTTTCTGGCTTGCAGCTAGAATCGGTCTCCACTAACGCAGTAAAGGTCGCTGTGCAGCAGCAGCACAAGCAACACGCCCTATGTATGCCCTCCATACCGTTCCGGGGTGTCCGTTATTCCTTCCTTCTATTGCCCTTCGGGGATTGTCACCTTAATACGTCCGTTTACGCCGAGATTTGCCCTCCGTTACAGGCTAGACCGCTCCACTGCACTAGAAGGGTTTTAACCCAATCTGAGCACTGTCACTTTTTATACTATGTAACTTCTTAAGGTTCATACTATAAATGTCCTTTTATTTCTAAGGTATAAAAAATTTCCCTTGGACTAACTATCTTAAAATGTCAAATACCCGTTCTTGTGTCCTTTCTTACAAGAGCAAGTGTTCAGCCTGCCCCTGTAACGTCTGTTACGGTAGGCTGTTCACAGAGGTGTGTTGACATCAGTCCAGCGCTTAAATTCAGATGTCCTCATCCTGTAATCTGATTTTTCAATGCAAGCTGTGATGGATCCATGGATTTCAATGGCATTTGTAAGAGTCCTCTTGATTTCAGCACCGTAAGAGTTGAAGTTGGTGACGTGTTGCAGGGATCAACACAGATAAGTCAGCGGGTGGCACAAAAGACGACTTACCTTACTTGCTTTATTTACGCTTATTTGCAGACAATGAAGTCAAAACAAGCACAGGACAACCAGTTTCTGAAGGAGAAAAACACTTCTGAATAAGGGCTAACTTTTAATCACATTTTAAATACCCTACTCATATTTTTTAGTTTTAGAATTCCTGAAAGCCACTTTTTGATAATAAAACTGACCTATGGGCTGTTTCCTTGGAAGGATTTAATATAGCCTTAATTACATCAGCACAGTTCTGAAATGACAGTGTCATTCTTCAGTGGTCAAAATAACGTGCGAATGTCTTCTAGTTTTTAACAATGAGCTAACCCTGAATAATGAAAATAGGAGAAAAAAGGAAGACGGGGTCTATGAATTCATCCAAAATCTAACCGTAGAGAAACATCCAGGAAAGTAAGATCATTCTCTTCTGTCTCTGTACTATTTAAAATGCCTGAGAATGTTAATTTTTATTCTTCATTTACATGCTGTTCCAGTAACTTGGTTTGTATTGCCCTAAGCAGTGGCAGCTGCGTAGTTTGCAGCTTCCCGAGGCATTTGCGGTTGTGTCCCCTTCAGTCCTTACCAGAGCAAAACCTTTAAATGTTTGGTTTCCCCACGTCAGCCAGTTCCCTGATCCGCGTTTCCATTTTCATTGCCGTGATGTGCTGTTGCTGTTTTCATGCAACGACCAGGACTGGATGAACGCTCTCCAGGTGTGGTTTCACCTGAGCCATTAAGCGAGCAGTTACGTTCCTTTTCTGTAATGATACCTCTGTGGACCGTAGCTTTTAAAGGTATTGGCCTTTTTTGTA